AATTTATTGATAAATCTCTAGCAAGCTAACAATTATTAGGTTACTGGTAGATAGAGCAAGGTCAACGTTTACCATTTAGTACCGTTAACACTGACTCTGTGTATATAACTGATTGTTAACGTAAATCAATGAATTTTTAACTTAAATCAATGATCTGGTTCACCTTTTAACTGATAATAACTGAAAAATTTACCAACAATAGCGAGAGCAGCGAGGTACACAACCGAATTCGAACGTACCGCCAAGGTCAGGTGATATCTTTATGGAATGCCCTTCCAGATGAGATAGCGCCCCCAGCAAGGCGGTCTTCAAACTTCGTCTTGACCACCACTTAGGTTTATCTACTGCTCCCCAATAAAAAAAATTTTGAGTTATTTAAGAATTCGCAAGTCTTCATTTTACTTCTCGCCTCGAGCGGGGAACCCTACTAATCCCTTTTCTCGGGTAATTCAAACCAAAAGAAAACACAGATACCTTTCAAGGACCCGGGACATTTGGGCAACAGCCTCGAACCAGGGAATCACTTCAAGACTTCAAGACAACTGAACTGAAGGTCAACCGAGCTGCACCGTTTTCGACAAGTCCTATTTCGCCGGCATCAATGATGTATTAGTTAGAAATTTAATTTCTTGAAGGATTTGCAGTGGAATGCGCTTTGATTGAGACTTCTTTCTGTATATAAAAGAAAAACTAATGGATCCCGGAAGACAGGGTCTGTTTAGTTCATTTGGTCTTGGAGACTGATTCAAAATCCGCGAACGCGGGAAGTTCCGTACTGATTTTGCCATGTGTCCGACGCACGCTGCATTACAGACCATTTTTAGGATTTTTATATTCACTTAGAACACCACTCCTACACACTGGGAGGGGCCTGGTTTTCATCGAACACCGTTTTTCTTATCCCGGTTTAAACGGTTTTTCATATTTTATTATAGCATTATCTCAACGCGGTCTTCCCCTTTTCTCCTAACCGATTGTCAAGATGAGTGGAGATTACTCTTCGCTGTCCTTTGTTTCGTGGGCTTCTAACGTGACCAAGTGTTCCAATCATGTATTTAATGGCGTTCTTAGTCGTAGCTGGACTAATTTGTCAATGCAACACGACGCTCTTACCGTGCTAACCGGAATAACCAGTTTGATTCATGAGAAAGGAGGCAAAGAGTCCAGTGCAGAGTATTATGCCGCTCTGGTAAGTTGGACTTACGGTATATTCGATTGCTCTCCAGTTAACTGCACTTAATACACCATCCACCACAAAAGCAGCTGAGGCATATTTACTCAAAGTGGTTATATCTAAGGCGTAAGTTCTTCAATTTTCTGATTTCTGTCTTAGTATTCCAGATTCTTTGCTTAGGGCCACCTTCAGTGATGCGTCAAAAATTATTGTCCATATTTTGAGTTCTGTCTCTCGGGATGATGCCTCAACTACGTCCATCTTGAAATCAGTAGGTTAACTACTGTTTATTCACTCTTTATGTAGCTACTAATCTGCCTTGGGCGCTTGTTAAGAGCTCAGAGTCGTGATGCTTGGTCAACCGAGTCCGTTCGCCAAGTTTACCGCTACATCCTCGGCTTCGTGGACAACGATAAACCGGCAGTGAGAAAGGCCAGTCACACTGCTGTTTCAGACATCTTGGTTGGCAATGTTGAAGCTGACGACGAAGCTGGATTTGTATGCCATCCAGCATCACATCAAACACAGGATCATCTCTGCTCTGCTCTACGTCGTGAAGCTAGGTGGGTTTGCTTGTAATTTGTTTAATCTGTTATGACTAGCTTTTTCTTTGTCAAACATGTATAGTGTCAGGAAGTGAAACCGCGTGTTATTCTGGTTTTTCGTTATATGAATTGGGTGTCATGTAGACAGTGCCCCTAGCTGGAGGTAGATATTCTTGTTTCTATGGTGGTCTATTATTATCTGTGTGACGTTGCAGTGGTCCGTCTAACGGAATCCCACGTGGAGTGAACCATATCTACAATTTTCTAGTTTTATTTGTGGCATACAGAAGAGTTCTGGTAAAAACTCGATTCCATCATGCCAGGAATATTTACTCTCCTGGTGCCTCAAAAAGGCTTTTCTACGAAGAATGCTACTGGATAGCGGTTATCCAGAGAGATTTGTTGATTCACAGCAACCGAAGACCACTAATTGATCCCGTCTGCCGAAGAAATTTTTCCTCCTCAGACAGACCATGAAGGGAGATCATCCAATGAACCGCGTGCGTCAGAAGTTCAAGGCGGCAGTGCTGAACATTTTTTGCTGCACGGTTTAGATTGGTATCGCAGATGGAATTCACCAGGACAACCGGAAACCGAGTTAGCCGCATAATTATGCTTCCTATGTTGTCTACCACTTCGCCTGCAGTTGCGGCAGATCGGACCGGCCTTTCACAACGACGTTCTAGTACATTCGCACGTCGTTGTTACAGTCAATGACAAAACACTGGCATATAATGCCGGTTGATATCAGTCCTCTATCTAAAATGTAGATTAACCGGGAAATCAGTTATCTCCAAAGGTATAAGGTCTCCGACCCGAACTGGCCAGCCCCACTGGGTTTTGGGGATGGAAGGCCAGCCTTGGTTATGGAGTCAACGAAACTCCCGGTCTCAGTATCGGCGAGGGAACAGATTCCAACTGAATGGCGTGAATCGGTCATCATACGGATTTAAAACAAAGGTGACAGATCCTCTTGTGAAAACCACAGAGGAGTTAATTTAATCAACATTCTCTCTGAACTTGTCGCTAGGATCATAGTCCGTCGATTGTCTGCCGCACTAAATGCTGAATCGAATCAGGAACATACTGCCCCAGCGTCGACTAAGGCAGTAGTTGAAATATCCCATGAATTAATAATAATAACAGGAACAGGCGATAACAAAGAAGTTTGGCACGCGCGTAGTAAAATGGTAGACTCACCGGGGTGATTGCGACCACAGGCTCTTGCTTTAATACGGAATCGTTGACAGTAATAACAGTCTTTGGGCGACGTCCGAGGTGTGGGAGGCGCCTAGTGTGGTAGGTACTATGGACGAGCTTGATCACTCCGAGGTCGGAAGGGCCGTTTGGGGCGACGGCCACTCACGGGGGCAATTTCTGGTGTTTCGGGGAGCTGATCGCGTCCGAGCACAGCTTCAAATTGTTCGAGGCATCGGGCGGTGTCCAGCGCTACCGCTACGGAGGATGGGGGTTGATAAGAAATCGGCGTCTCACCGCCGGGTTCCGCGTGCCCACCAAGATCTGTCTGAGGA